CATCTGCTATTCTCATCTAAATGTACTATCTGTGGATGGGCTGTGTTGATCGCCACTCACAATATTGACCCAATCAGTGATCCTCTTGCCCTTGGATACCCACTGGCCCATGTCTTTCCAGTCCTCTGCTGGCTCCTTTGCTAGGGACACATGTGGGCTCCATATTTCCCTGAACAGTCTCTGACTTTGGGGCCCTATTTCCACCTCCACTACTGCGTGGGTGTTGTCATAGTAAAACCATTTCAAGGCTATAGTCCTTTCTGTGGTTTTAAACAGAGCTTCCTCATATTCTTTACTAGGGACAGAGTGTGTATTATACCACAGAGTACAATGTAAGTCATCCTCAGTCATTTTAGGTGAGTCAGGTACTAGGGTTTTAGTCAAGTCTACTAAGGTCTTTGGTATGTCTGAGTTACCTCCCCTCAACAGGTCCTGGCTATACCAATAACATGGTTCCCCTTCACCACTTACAACCATATTATCCTTTATCACATGAGCCTGCATTCCCCTCACTGTCGGTCTTACTTCTATGTTTAACTGCGTCATCTCATCTCTTCCCAATAGATTAACAGGACATTGTACTGAAATCAGTACAGGCAGAGTAGCTTCACTCCCTGTCTTTACATGTTTAGACAGATCAAACACCTCCAGTTCTCTCTCCTGCTTCTCCTTTTCTCTCCTGTCTGACTTTCTCTGCCCTTGTCCTGTACTCCTCTATCTCTGGCTCTTCCTCACCTTCATCTTCCCTTCCTCCTCCAGCCCCTTCTTCCTCATAGGGAGGTGGGGCCGGTTGGGGGCAACATTATTCCCCTGCACTCTCCTTCTCCTCCCTACGTATTCATCATCTGGATTTTCTCTCCATGCCTGGTCTGCCAAGTTTGGATATAACCTTTCTGCCCTCTGCTCTGGGGGAGGCACGGAGACCTCAACCTTCACTTCTCTTTTCTTCCTGCCTTATCTCCTCTCTCTCCTAAGTTCTACCCGCCATCTCTCCCAGAGTGGCAATTAGTTACTCTGCATCTTCCTCTTCTTTCTTGGCTCTGTCCTGTCTGTTATTCTGCTCATGATGGATTGCATGTCTCTCTGAGGCTATTACACAATTCAGTTATTTTCCCAACATACTCTCCGTAATCGGCCCATGGCAAAAGTGTCCTCTGGGCATCCCCTGAAACCCACTGCCCTCTAACGGCAGCCCAAACCTTACTATTCCTGTTTCGGGGTGGGTCATTCCTTCTACCGCTCTGGCCACGTCCTCTGTGTTCATGGCCTGTCTGCTAAATGGCATATTATTATTATTACTGTATACATCTAAGGTTGCTGGGGCCCCTTTCATTCCCCGCCAATAGATTAGGTAAGGCTATCAGTGGGTACTGGCCCCCCTCCTACTCTCTCTCTCTCACTGCTTATTTCTCCTTTACACACCTTATGTATCTGTTTAAGCATGGATTCGAGTTTATCTGCGTCTAGACGTCCCTCAAAACCATACCTCTCCCTCCACCTGGTTACATAATGGACATTTCTTCTATCCCTGGATTCCATTTTAATTACATCAAGTATTTCTCGTCCCCAGTAAATTCTGGGACCTCTTGTGAGGATTTGCCCCCCCCCATGGTTGGTACTGTTAAAAATCCCTTAGCCACCTCTTCTATATAACAAGTCAATTTAACAAGTAATTCAAAATAGCTTCACACAACAACACCTTGAATCACCCCTTCCTGTATATGTAATCTTGACTAGTCCCCCAGAATTATCTCATACTTTTACAGAGGGATTGATCCCCACAATGTAATCTTGATAATTCCTGACAGTCTCATACAACAGGAATGGGTTCTCCCTCCTCTATACAACCACCTCTCCCTGTATATGTAGTCTTGACTAGTCCCCCAGAATTATCTCATACTTTTACAGAGGGATTGATCCCCACAATGTAATCTTGATAATTCCTGACAGTCTCATACAACAGGAATGGGTTCTCCCTCCTCTATACAACCACCTGGAATTATTCATGTGACTTTTGAGCAAACATTAGGTCTCACACGTATACAACCTTACATGATTATTGGTGTTGTATCGGTAACCTGGAGTTTATAAGGCTCCAGAACGGATAGAGTTACAGCAAAATCTACAGTTGTTTGTGACTTTTGACTTAACTAATATTCTATTTCTCACACATGCTATTTTAATTCCTTCTGGTGTACTTTTTGTATTTGTTTAACCCGGATTATTTGTTGACTGCGCAATAATCTCTTACAGGTTACATCCCATAGGTGTACTTTTAATAGTTCCTTCTATTTCAACACCGGGTAGTTTCTTTTGGTAATGGCCTATTACCGTGAATCATTACGGACCCACCACCAGGTTGACTAGTCCCCCAGAATTATCTCATACTTTACGGAGGAGTCTATCCTCACAATGTGTAATCTTGATAATTCCTGACAGTCAACCCCACTTAAAATGGCTACGCATTGATCAATTTGCTACTTTTCAATATTTTAGCAAGTTCTCAAATCAATTTCACCAAGTTAATGAATAAAGACTACTGACCTTATCCTTGCAGCCGAGATTCAATGTAGGTTTGGATTCCGTCACCGTCTCTGTCATTAATCAGGTGTCCTCTGGCCTGTTTTAACCCTTAATGTCAAAGGGCAGGACTTTCTATTTACGAATGTATCATTCGCCCGTCGACGGTTTTCAGAGTTACCTGGAATGACAGAAACAGGGTATTGGAGTCCGGCTCAGAAGGACCAAGCTGTTACGTGAATTATTTAACAAACTATTTTAGTGTCTCTGTGCGTCTCCCAAAAGGTTGTAAGTCTTTTGGGATTTAAGTAACGCCCAGAGTCCCGGTCTGCATGGTCAGAGATATTTATTCATTGAGAATTCTGCCATCACAATTTCAGAGTCCATCTTTTATACTCATACGTCATACAAAAAGAAATCCCTTCCCTCTGTAGGCGGGCTGTAGTTTTCCACTCTAAAACTGCTCTACTGACCTTCAGTTCACACACACACACATATACACACATGCATACACACATACATACACACACACACACACACATATCCTACTCCCTGCTTTACTCAGTTATTGCCGTTCTCACAATATTCTGCACCATGTTTTCATAAGTTTCTCCCCTCCCTAAATTGGGAGGCCTCTTTATCTTAGTTTCTCAGTTGTCTTTGTTGTCTGGCCTGACTCTTACTCACATTGCTAAATAATGGCTCAATGCCATAGCCTTTACTGGTCCTACACTCACACATTATACACAGTTTCAGGGTGTAATAATTAGTCATTAATAATTAATCTATCAGATGACCAGTGAGATATATCTGCTGGAGCGCATACTACGGGTGGGTGTTGCTATGGTGACCAATGAGCTAAGATAAGGCAGGGATTTGCCTAGCAGTGATTTATAGATGACCTGGAGCCAGTGGGTTTGGCGACGAATATGTAGTGAGGGCCATCCAACGAGAGCGTACAGGTCACAATGGTGGATAGTATATGGGGCTTTGGTGACAAACCGGATGGCACTGTGATAGACTACATCCAATTTGCTGAGTAGAGTGTTGGAGGCTATTTTGTAAATGACATTGCCGAAGTCAAGGATCGGTAGGATAGTCAGTTTTACGAGGGCATGTTTGGCAGCATGAGTGAAGGAGGCTTTGTTGCGAAATAAGAAGCCGATTTATAGATTTAACTTTGGATTGGAGATGCTTAATGTGAGTCTGGAAGGAGAGTTTACAGTCTAACCAGACACCTAGGTATTTGAAGTTGTCCACATATTCTAAGTCAGACCCGCTGAGAGTAGTGATTCTAGTCGTGCGGGTGCAAGCAGCGTTCAATTGAAGAGAATGCATTTAGTTTTACTAGTGTTTAAGAGCAGTTGGAGGCTACTGAAGGAGTGTTGTATGGCATTGAAGCTCGTTTGGAGGTTTGTTAACACAGTGTCCACAGAGTTCCTCTGTGGAGATGGGAGAACCTTCCAAAAGGACAACCATCTCTGCAGCACTCCACCAATCAGGCCTCTATGGTAGTGGCCAGATGGAAGCCACTCTTCAGTAAAAGGCACATGACAGCCCGCTTGGAGTTTGCCAAAAGGCACCTAAAGGACTCTCAGACCATGAGAAACAAGATTCTCTGGTCTGATGAAACCAAGATTGAACTCTTTGGCCTGAATACCAAGCGTCACATCTGGAGGAAACCTGGCACCATCCCGACGGTGAAGCATGGTGGTGGCAGCATCATGTTGTGGTGATGTTTTTCAGTGGCAGGGACTAGGAGACTAGTCAGGATCGAGGCAAAGATGAACAGAGCAAAGTACAGAGAGATCCTTGATGAAAACCTGCTCCAGAGCGCTCAGGACCTCAGACTGGGGTGAAGGTTCACCTTCCAACAGGACAACGACCCTAAGCACACAGCCAAGACAACGAAGGAGTGGCTTCGGGACAAGTCTCAATGTCCTTGAGTAACCCAGACAGAGCCCAGACTTGAACTCGATCGAACATCTCTGGAGAGACCTGAAAATAGCTGTGCAGCGATGCTTCCCATCCAACCTGACAGAGCTTGAGAGGATCTGCAGGGAAGAATGGGAGAAACTCCCCAAATACATGTGTGCCAAGCTTGTAGCGTCATACCCAAGAAGACTTGAGGCTGTAATCGCTGCCAAAGGTGCTTCAACAAAGTACTGAGTAAAGGGTCTGAATACTTATGTAAATGTGATATTTCAGTTTATTTTTTACGTCTAAAAACATGTTTTTGCTTTGTCATTATGGGTTATTGTGTGTAGATTGAGGGTGAAAAACCTATTTAATCCATTTTAGAATAAGGCTGTAACGTAACAAGATGTGGAAAAAGTCAAGAGGTCTGAATACTTTCCGAATACACTCTATGCTTGCATACATATGAGAACATGACCAGTGACTCCCTGACTTTCTTCCTATACCCACACTAGCACACTACCTAGTATGAAACAATATATAGGGGGGTGCATTCTGCGAAGTATGCTAGTATAGACATACCTGACGTTTGACTGACCTTGTCTCTCCTCTCTCTCTGCAGGTTATGCTTCATAGTTGCTCTAGGTTACCTCAGCTTCTGTCAGATCACCCGGGTCTACGTCTTCGACTACGGCATGTACTCTGCAGACTTCACCGGGTAAGTATTAGGTGTTGTGTTGACAATCAATGACATTCAATTACATTCATAGGCATTGGCATGGAAAACCAGCAAACCTGGTGGTCATCAAAAACAGGAGTTGAATGACCATGGGAGTCTAAATATCACTAGTACCACATATCCAGCTGAGAAGAAAATCCCAAACTCCAACAACTTTTTCATACACTTAAATGTTGTGTAATAACAGGATGTTGAATCTAGTGAATGGGGAGTGTCAGTGAATGGTTGTGTCGCAGTATTATCGGTACCCCAGGGGTACATTGTTCCACCTCCTCCGGAGTGTCTGGTGAACCAGACAGCCACACACACGCGCTAGGGCGGGGGTGGCCAGTTGCTAAGCAACCCCAGTAGGAGACCCATGGCATCACAAGTGCAGACCTCCCTCTTTTCATTTCTTCTTTCATCCTCTCCATTCCTTTCTTCTCTAGTTTTTTTCCTCGTACTCATCTTTTTTCATGAAATGCCAGTGACTAAAAGTTTGGAAATATCTAAGGCCGTGTCATTTCATGCAGCTTTTGTATTCTGATCATAGAATTCCGAACATGTCATACGTCTACACCTACATTTAAATGTATCTACCGTGCCCACATTGTGTCGGAATTCCCGCTATTTTCAAATGTAGCATGCATTCTGCAAACGGTGGAACAGGCTAAATCTGATAATAACAAAACAACAACTTGATGGCAGTAGCCAACTACTGTAGCTAACTAGCCAGCTAACCTCTTTAACTAGCCAGCAAGCTAGCTAGCAAAGCTAACGGGATTGCAAACAGGTTAGGATAACTCTAGCATCATATTTTTTCTAAGTAAGCTAGCTGGCTAGCATTTATGAAGCCTGCAAACATGTTCCTCACACGCTAGGAATGTTATCTTCCAACGTTTAATGAAAGAAGGTGCATCTCGCTCCCAAAACATACGTTTTCTGGATACTTGTGGGTGGAGTGCTAATGCCGTCGCCCACTGTATGCGCTTTCGGTAGCCTGATTTGCATCCAGACTGAGGAGAAATCTGCACACAATGCGTCTCTGATCACCTCCTGAAGTGGCCAGCCAGATCTGAACACAATATGACCACAATGCAACTTGAGCATCTAGACCTGTCTTTTCAATGCGATCGTCGTATTCTGATAGCAGAAGTCGCATGTAAGTGTCAAGTGTAGAAAAGTCACGGAATATCATCAAGTCAACCCTAATTGAATATTTGTAGTTTCTCTCTGGCTTGGACGATTAGGGCACAATCTATTCCACACAACATATTAATCTGCTACCAGTTATAACCTGATACAAGCTTTTGGGTGTTATATCATTTTGAACAACTGATTTTCTGTGCAACCTTACAGCTAATGAATCTTAACATTTTTAAGGATTGTCTTTAAGATTTCACCCCACAGTTCTTCTCTGTCACATGGTATTACATACTTGACACTGTGCCATGTTGTCTTTAGGGGATGTACAAAAGCATACCCATACTTAATAGCAGCAAGAAGTCAGTCAGTTGCATTACACAGAGTGATGGTCTGCTAATGCATGTTCGCTACAGCAGTGCTCCCAGTGCGTGATGGTAAATGAATAATGTATGCCTGATGGAGATGGATGTTATTTTATGGGATGTTTATATAATATGTAACGAGAAGAAGCTTGTTCCAGTGTAGGTGAGCAGAGGCAGTCGGGTGATTATAAGTTGATGTGATTGGTTCCTCTCCTCTCCTGTGTTTCTCCTATAGGCCAATGATGGTCATCACTCAGAAGATCACCAGCTTGGCGTTTGAGATACACGACGGTGAGACGTGTGTGTGTGTGTACTTGTGTGTCTCTAACTAAGGAACTGAGTCATGGTGATAGAACATATCATTTTGTCATTGATAAGGCTATCAAGGCAGGTGCCTGGGAGATGAAAGCAGCAGCAGAGAGATAACACAGTGCTGCTCTATTTCCTCTCGCCCAGCCAGCTAAAGCTATGCATAGTGAATACGATCTGCAGTCCCCTTTTGAATAGAAACAAGAAGTCAGAGGGGATATGAACGTCCCATTTTATTGTTTTGGTTTCATCTGCAAGGTATTTTCGAAGGCGAGTTTCCATGTGTGTGTTTGTCTCCTTTTCACCTTGCAGACAATAAATAGTCCAATTTATATCCAGTTTCTCATTTTATAATTTTTTAATTGAAAATAAACAATATATACCTTCAAATTGGTTTACATTTTTAAAACCTCTCTTTGGGAACAGTATATTTCATAATACAGTATTGATACTGTAGTGCTTGTATGGTGAGTATGAAAAATGTATGCACTCACTAACTGTAAGTCGCTCTGGATAAGAGCGTCTGCTAAATGACTCAAATGTAAAAATGTGAGGAATTTTTACAGAGTGGACTCAGTCAAGTGAGCAGGGGTGGCTTTGTAAACAAGCTTATGTAACGAGGAACGTTACACACTCTCCCTTCCTCTCCAAGTTCCTCTGTAAGCCTTTTCCTCTCCCCTACACCAAATCATCCATAATGTCAGATACTGTATGCATAGAGAGAAGTGTGTGTCTGTGTGTGTGTGCGTCAGTGTGGTGAATGGGGATTACATGGCTGTACTCCTTTGAAGTCCTGTAAAGTAGAGCACCAGTTTTGGAAGTCTAGAAGTAGCCAATAGGCCACAGCAGCTAATTAAGGATGGGGAGATGGGCGACAGGATTAGAATGAACGAGTGTAAGAGAGGCTTAGGGGAGTTGAGGCTGACCAGCTCCTCCACTTCAGTCACATGGCTTCAGGTGGTGTGTGTGTGTGTGTGTGTGTGTGTGTGTGCGTGCGTGCGCATCAAGTGTTTTAATTGCAGTGTAGTCTACTGATACTCCTCATAAGTAATGAACATCTAAGACCATAATCCCTATTATGTCTGTGATGTCACAATGAACACTGCATGTTCTTTTTCTGTAGAGGGAATCATGTAATGCAGTGGTATTTAAACTTTTTCAGTGGGGACCCCATGTTTTTCACCGGAAATTATGGGGACTTTTTTTTTAAACAATTTCTGGCGACTCCACCTCAAATCTAATGATGCAACCTTAAAATCGTAAAATTCTGATTTTTACATCAACAAATACATTTTTATCTCTTATCAAAATGAAAATAATCCAATAAATACATTTACTCAATAACATTTTATTTTTTAAATGATATTCTTCAAAAACGTGTGTATTGTCCCATACAATAATAAGTACCGGTAATCTTAAAAATAAAAAATATAGTACGTGACGCATAGTGTAATCACTTGGGTGCAGAGTGTGCACCCAAGTGAATGGGAAAGGTAGGCAACATCAACAATTATGTACTCAAAATGATCAAATTAGACTTTGCCCATCTTTCCAATTCATTTGGGATTGAGGCATATGGCTGGACCAACTAGCCAGTTTATAATAGCAATAAGGCACCTCGGGGGTTTGTGGTATATGGCCAATATACCACGGCTAAGGGCTGTATACAGGCACTCTGCTTAAGCATCGTGCCTCATTTTATTTTTTATTTCACCTTTATTTAACCAGGTAAACCAGTTGAGAACAAGTTCTCATTTACAACTGCGACCTGGCCAAGATAAAGCAAAGCAGTGCGATAAAAACAACAACACAGAGTTACATATGGGGTAAAACAAAACAAAGTCAAAAATACAACAGAAATACATATATATACAGTGTGTGCAAATGTAGCAAGTTATGGAGGTAAGGCAATAAATAGGCTATAGTGCAAAATAATTACAATTAGTATTAACACTGGAATGATAGATGTGCAAGAGATGATGTGCAAATAGAGATACTGGGGTACAAATGAGCAAAATAAATAACAATATAGGGATGAGGTAGTTGGGCGGGCTAATTTCAGATGGGCTGTGTACAGGTACAGTGATCGGTAAGGTGCTCTGACAACTGATGCTTAAAGTTAGTGAGGGAGATAAGTGTCTCCAGCTTCAGAGATTTTTGCATTTCGTTCCAGTCATTGGCAGCAGAGAACTGGAAGGAATTGCGGCCAAAGGAGGTGTTGGCTTTGGGGATGACCAGTGAGATATACCTGCTGGAGCGCAGACTACGGGTGGGTGTTGCTATGGTGACCAATGAGCTAAGATAAGGCGGGGATTTGCCTAGCAGTGATTTATAGATGACCTGGAGCCAGTGGGTTTGGCGACGAATATGTAGTGAGGACCAGCCAACAAGAGCGTACAGGTCACAGTGGTGGGTAGTATATGGGGCTTTGGAGACAAAACGGATGGCACTGTGATAGACTACATCCAATTTGCTGAGTAGAGTGTTGGAGGCTATTTTGTAAATGACATCGCCGAAGTCAAGGATCGGTAGGATAGTCAGTTTTACGAGGGCATGTTTGGCAGCATGAGTGAAGGAGGCTTTGTTGCGAAATAGGAAACCGATTCTAGATTTAACTTTGGATTGGAGATTCTTAATGTGAGTCTGGAAGGAGAGTTTACAGTCTAACCAGACACCTAGATATTTGTAGTTGTCCACATACTCTAGGTCAGACCCGTCGAGAGTAGTGATTCTAGTCGGGTGGGCGGGTGCAAGCAGCGTTCGGTTGAAGAGCATGCATTTAGTTTTACTAGTGTTTAAGAGCAGTTGGAGGCTACTGAAGGAGTGTTGTATGGCATTGAAGCTCGTTTGGAGGTTTGTTAACACAGTGTCCAATGAACAGTCGTTTCCCATCTAGTAGATACCCATAGACTTCCAGTTATTGTGCTAAAGCTAGTTAGCATTGGCTCACGAAACTACCTTGATCTTCCTTCATACTGAACACAGACACATACAAATTATATCCATGAGTTCATCTGACTATGGGGAAGTAGATCAATGCCAAAATCCCGAAGTATCCCTTTTAAGGTCTTACAGTTGCGTGTGTGGTTTTTGCAGCTGTTTGGTTTTAATGAGTGCATTTCGCAAGTGGCTAGTTTGCATAAACTACCTTAACAAACAACTGAAAAGGTTTTGCCTGCAAACTTTGGTTTTGAATCGTGACGTTCTGGCATGTCTGCCTCGTGATTTGTTGGGAGAGTCCCCGGTATATTTATTCTTATCGATGTAGACCGTGACGTAGTTCCTCTATGCCAAAAGAGTCCATCATTGAAACCAGACCCTAGTTACTGTGTTGCCTAGGGTCGGGTTTTCAAGACTACCTCAGTCTCACTACCGCTAGCACTCTGACTGAGGCAGATGGAGATGGGCTCAGGCCATAGCTGATTTAGGCACTGTACATTTTAGGGGAAGAGAACAAAACCACAAATCACCACTGACAATGCTAGCACGGAGCTAGCTAACACAGTTGATCTGTGTACTAGGTCATTTTCCCTTTAAGTCTGTTTTTCCCTCTTTTTCTCTCTCTTTCTGTGCCGCACACATTTGTAGCTGAAGAAATGTTTTGCATATGACTTATTCCAATTATTAAATGTTGCTGAGTGACCAAGGGAGCACACAGCAATTAGGCTAGCCTGTAGCTGCTGTGCTGGAGTGATCTGATCTCAAATTAGGCTATATTACCACATAGGGTTGCAAAATTCCGGTAACTCTCCTAAATTTCTGGTTGGAGGATTCCCGGGATTCCTGCTTATTCCTTTGTAATTCCAGGAATCTTCCAACCAGGATTTCTGGAAAACCGGGGAATTTTGGGAAAGTCACCAGAATTTTGCAACCCTATTACCACATCAATTTACTGTATCTCTGAATGGTATGCTCAGAGATATATGGTTTATTATATTTCTTTGGTTAGACTATAACAACAAGCCTGTGGTCATACAGCATCATGTTTAACGGCATCTAAGGTTCCAAAGTGAATTAAGCAATAAGGCCGGATGAGGTGTGGTATATTGGCCATATACCACAAACCCCCAAGGTGCTTTATTGCTATTATAAACTGGTTACCAACTAAACTAAACAGTAAACAAGTATTTTTGCGTCATACCCTTGGTATATTGTCTGATATACCACAGCTTTTAGCCAAACAGCATCCAGGACCCAAACGACCCGGGTTAAAATAGGATATAAGGAGAGAAGAGACTGGCTTCCTCCCAAATGGCACCCTATTCCCTATGCAGTGCACTACTTTTGACCAGGGGCCCATCAAAAGCAGTGCACTATATTGGGAATAGGGTACCATTTGGGACGCAGACACTGTTTAGCGTTGAGCCATAATGAGTCTGAACCTGCAGAACGGATCAGTGTGAATCACTGAGTGTGTAATTATATGAGTGGTTCTGATAACAGCTTGGCTTCACCCCTAAAACAACATCAGTCTGAGACGCTAGTGCTACAGCTTTCAGCTTGATGAGTCTCACTAGCTTAGCTCTCATGACCCTGTGCTGAATTTTTTTTTTTTACTCTATTGTATTGCAATCAACACCTGATAAGTGAATAATATTTTGTCAAATTCAAATGCATATATACTTCTTACTTACTGTATTAAGAGTTGACTATATATATATTTTTAAAACGGTTGTCAAAGGGTTGTGATTGGTTGGGTGCAGTCATGTGACCACACTCTCTGTGTTCCCATAGGCTTGATGAGGAAGGAGGAGCAGCTGACCCCCAGTCAGAGATGCCTAGCTGTAAGGTATGTGTTTCAGGTATGTTTTTACTCTCCCAGCTTGACTAGAGACAGTTCTATTGCCGTACTCAAGAAAGCTATGAGCTAGGTAGTAATATGCTTCCTGGGAGGGGGCTGTTTTATTTATTTATTTTATTCAATTTATTTGACCATTTTAAAAGCACAATACAACCACAGGTGGACACAATGCATTTAAAATAATCGAGGATGAAACAATTGTATTGTTTTTAAGCGTATTTCCATTGTGGTCCCCCTTGTAAATACATACACAAGATTATAACATTAAAATAAATACGGTCACTGGGAAAGCTTATGGTAGCCACCAGCCAGTACTCATGTCACATGTGCATTGTGTTGTACAGTGATATTTGTTCTGTTCCTTTCTTTCTTGGCTTTCTTCTTTCTCGCTCTCTCTCCCATTGTATCAAACATGTTTTTTTTTTTTCTACTTATACTCTGAATCTATAACAATATTGAGTGAGAATCTTGAATGCTTTGGACACAAGGAAAGATCATGTAGGCACTAGGCACCATGCAAAATGTAGCTCACAACAGGATATTTGCTTCTAAAGAGGAAGAAGATGGAAATGATTGTCTCTGGAGGAATCTTATCTTATTCTGTTTTCTTCACATTAAATTACTGAGAACATAATGCTCTTGGTATCAACAATTAGAGCGGTTATTATGAATTAAACACCCCAGGGCTCCTCTCACAGTCACAGGGGCTGTGAAGGAGTTTGTATCCCTGCTCCAAAGGGTACCCAGCTGTTGCATGGCAACCGGACGTACTGTACGTCCCTTGTCATGTGACCAGGGTAGTCCAGGGCTCCAGACTAACATTTTCCCCTGGTGGCATTGATGCCACTAGCTTTTTCAGTGGGTGGCACCAGTTCATGATTTGGTGACCGTGCTTTGAGCTCAATAATTATTTGTTGAGAAAATCAAATTATACCTACAGAAAGCTGAGACCATCCTCTCTTTAATATGGACAAGTAGTTGCTTCCAAAGCTGTTTTTTTTTCCCTCAATTGCACAATGACAAGGGGCACACGAGGGGGGAGAGAGAGTGTGTTAGGCTCGCTCATTACAGCAGCCGGCCCCAGCGAAACAGGCAGGCACAGCGGCAGGGCAGAAACTTTCATTACAGGAATCAGGATAATGCAGTTTGTTTAACAAATTCATGGTTTTATCTGCCCAAAAAATAGGACATTTTGATTGAGGTGACCAGGTAGAATGTACAGCTCGCACCAGTGGCGAACAATTATAAATGTAACTCAGCCAAGTTAAAGGGTCGCAAAATGTGACTAAATGGTCGCAGTCTGGAGCCCTGCAGTCAGGAAGCTGTCAGAGACCAAGGAGTTTACACAATGGGACCCCCAACTACTGTGTGAAAGGAATTTAATCTAAGTCATTTTGGCAGTACTTTAACAATGTATGTGCAAGTTTAGTAGGACATTGAACAAAATTGTGCAAGTAATCATGAAAAGAACAACCAGAAAAATACAAATATCATTGTCAAATCCGTCTTGGGAGAAACATTAGAAGTTTGAAATTCTGACAGAATGCCACAGTTAAAAATATATAATATAATGTCATCTGCTAATGTGACCCCTAGAACACCACGACAGTCCAACCTAGCTAACCCTTTGGCCAAAGGACCGAAATACCTTGGTCATTGTGACTTGGCTGCTCACTCCGAGACAAACTCCAGGGAAGCGAGAAATTAGCAACCAAAGTGTGTTCCCCAACCTTGCTGTACCTCCACCACCACACTCAGTTTGCACTTTGCAGGGAAAGGCCTCACTTACTCCCTCCAAAGAGCCAGATTCCTACGAAGAACAGTGAAATTTCCGGACATATCATTAAAGAGGACGGTGTGTCAGTGGACGCTGAGAAGGTGGAGGCCATTGCCAAGATGAGCCAAGCTCAGCTATCTCCCGATTGGCGCAGTGGTCTAAGGCACTGCATCGCAGTGCTAGCTGTGCCACTAGAGATCCTGGTTCGAATCCAGGCTCTGTCGTAGCCGGCCGCGACCGGGAGACCATGGGGCGGCGCACAATTGGTCCAGGGTAGGGGAGGGAAGGGCCGGCAGGGATGTAGCCAGTGGTAACAGGGCTTTTGCAACCGGGGTTTTGGGTTTGATTCCACGGGGGGCCATTGAAAAAAAAAAATATAATAAAAAAGTATGCACTCACAACGTAAGTCGCTCTGATAAAGCGTCTGCTAAATGACTAAAAAGTAAAGAAAAGAAAGTAATGCGGCCAGTGCAACAAAGCCCCTTTACAAATCGGCTCCTATAACTAAAAGCACCGCACCTATCAATTTGACAAAAGTCTATGAATGCTTGACTCTTCATCATGTCCCCACAAGACACCATCCCAGACATTTTCTTCAAGTCTTTTTTGCATGTGCTGAATTCACAATCATACTGTATGTTTCTGCTGAGTCACCTCAGAGGGAAGACTAGGTCTCTACTCTTGTTGCTCTACTTGATGGGCATTCACTATGGCCATGCAAGAACGCTACAACAAAAGTGCTGACGCATGGGCTATTTGTTTCCAACCTAGGGTCAAAGCTGGGGTAGGGGTAATATTAACCCTACTTACCGTGCTAAAAGACCCATGGATAGGAGCGAGATGAGGGTAAAGTTAGATGGAGGTACAGTTGAAGTCGGAAGTTTACATACACTTAAACTCCGTTTTTCACAATTCCTGACATTTAATCCTAGTAAAAATTCCCTGTCTTAGGTCAGTTAGGATCACCACTTTATTTTAAAAAAGAATGTGAAATGTCAGAATAATAGTAGAGAATGATTTATTTCAGCTTTTAATTTATTTCATCACATTCCCAGTGGGTCAGAAGTTTACATACACTCAATTAGTATTTGGTAGCATTGCCTTTAAATTGTTTAACTTGGGTCAAACGTTTTGGGTAGCCTTCCACAAGCTTCCCACAATAAGTTGGGTGAATTTTGGCCCATTCCTCCTGACAGAGCTGGTGTAACTGAGTCAGGTTTGTAGGCCTCCTTGCTCGCACACGCCTTTTCAGTTCTGCCCACACATTTTCTATAGGATTGAGGTCAGGGCTTTGTGATGGCCACTCCAATACCTTGACTTTGTTGTCCTTAAGGCATTTTGCCACAACTTTGGAAGTATGCTTGGGGTCATTGTCCATTTGGAAGACCCATTTGCGACCAAGCTTTAACTTCCTGACTGATGTCTTGAGATGTTGCTTCAATATATCCACATAATTTTCCTTCCTCATGATGCCATCTATTTTGTGAAGTGCACCAGTCCCTCCTACAGCAAAGCACCCCCACAGCATGATGCTGCCACCCCCGTGCTTCAAGGTTGGGATGGTGTTCTTCAGCTTGCAAGGTACCCCCTTTTTCCTCCAAACATAACGATGGTCATTATGGCCAAACAGTTCTATTTTTGTTTCATCAGACCAGAGGACATTTCTCCAAAAAGTACGATCTTTGTCCCCATGTGCAGTTGCAAACCGTAGTCTGTCTTTTTTATGGCGGTTTTGTAGCAGTGGCTTCCTTGCTGAGCGGCCTTTCAGGTTATGTCTATATAGGACTCGTTTTACTGTGGATATAGATACTTTTGTACCGTTTCCTCCAGCATCTTCACAATGTCCTTGGCTGCTGTTCTGGGATTGATTTGCACTTTTCACACCAAAGTACGTTCATCTCTAGGAGACACAACGCGTCTCCTTCCTGAGCGGTATGACGGCTGCGTGGTCCCATGGTGTTTATACCTGCGTACTATTGTTTGTACAGATGAACGTGGTACCTTCAGGCATTTGGAAATGGCTACCAAGGATGAACCAGACTTGTCGAGGTCTACAATTATTTTCCTGAGGTCTTGCCTGATTTCTTTTGATTTTCACATGATGTCAAGCAAAGAGGCACTGAGTTTGAAGGTAGGCCGCAGGTACACCTCCAATTGACTCAAATGATGTCAATTAGCCAATCAGAAGCTTCTAAAGCCATGACATCATTTTCTGGAATTTCCCAAGCTGTTTAAAGGCACAGTCAACTTAGTGTATGTAAACTTCTGACTCACTGGAATTGTGATACAATGAATTATAAGTGAAATAATCTGTCTGTAAACAATTGTTGGAAAAATTACTTGTGTCTTGCACAAAGTAGATGTCCTAACCGACTTGCCAAAACTATAGTTTGTTAGCAAGAAATTTGCGGAGTGGTTGAAAAACGAGTTTGAATGACTCCAACCTAAGTGTATGTAAACTTCCGACTTCAACCGTAGGTAAGGGTTTTTAGTTAAATCTCTTTTGTTCTCAGAAAACGGCGTACAATACGTCCATGTTTTCTAGCGTGGCTGATAGACGACCCTCAGCTTGGACCCGCTTTATGCTAAAAGCTGCCTCTCTTTGACATCTGTCTAGCATCTCATTCTCGTCTCGTCCTCTTCCCCCAGGAGGATGCCCAGTCTGCTGGAGTACCTGAGCTACAACTGTAACTTCATGGGCATCCTGGCCGGGCCCACCTGCTCCTACAACGACTACATGGCCTTCATCGAGGGCACGGCCTACCAGCCTCGCCACCTGGAGGCCAACGGGAAGGAGAACGGGAAGTACAAGCAGACGGAGCCCTCGCCCAAGGTACCACAATGCCGGTCGCTTAGTTAGAGCTCCCCCTACCAGAATGAACCTAGTAGAATAGAATAGATACTTTGTCAATTTTTGTCTTCAACTGGTCCTGGGTTTTGTTCTAGTCCTAACACACATGGGCTTGAGGATTAGGTGAGTCGTTAAACTAGCTGTCTTAGTGCTGGACTGGAGCAAATGCCTGCACAACCTATAGCTCTAGGAAGAGAGTTGGTGATCATTGCTAGTGTGAGTTAGGGCTTGCAGGGTACATAGTGGGCAAACAGTCACGGTAAAGTAAAGTGGTGTGTATTTGTATTTATTAGGGATCTCCACTCTTCCTGGGGTCCAGACACATTAAGGCACTTTACATCACACATAAAACAAAATATAACAGTACATCATAACATTATTACACCACTACATGTCTACAATACAAAATGTATAATACCACCATGCTACAATATTACAATGTACGTGTGCTAGCGTGCGTATGTGTGTGTCTACCTGTGTGTGTGCCTCTTCACAGTCCTTGCTGTAATGTGACATGTGACATGGAACTTTGACCAGGAAAAACTCAGGGCCCTAGTTATGCCATCTTGTAGTTCAGAATGGAAACACTGTGCTTTTCATCCCGAAAACAAGAACAACCAGTACCACAGTCCTTTGTTTAGTAATTCAGCTCTCATTCCAATGAATTTAACTACAGATTCTGAAAAGTTCCAATGAGACACCACCAGTCACCGTTTTCTTCTCTCTAACCCCCATGATGGTCTTATCACCAGTTTACCAGACTAGACTGAGGAACTCAAAGCCTGCATGTCAATGAAGGAGCTTATTTTGCATGATAACTGCCTATGAGTTCCCTCTTTCTTATGTTTGGTTTCATAGTAGAAGAAAAATGCCCTATTACTCTGTGTGTGTCTACCACAACAATGATAATCAATCCCGTAACCTACAATCTATATAATTGGTTGTTTCCTCGTTAAGATGGTACAGTTTAATTACAACCCAATTTAAGATTTTACAGCTGGACGGCTAGAGAGAATAATGTAGCATGTCACTTCATCCCTCATAGCGCTTCTCAATTATTCTTACATCGTTGGCATTTATAATTGATATCTCACTCCAGAGTTGTGAGAGACTGTTATGACAAAGATATTCAGTAAAGGGAAGGGGCACAATACAAGCCGTGCTAAATATAGCGTGTTCTCAGACATCCTAGCCGCACTAAAGTGTTTGAGTTTAAGTTAATTGTAGGCTACTCTTTCACAGAGGTGACGATTTGGCAATTCAAGACGGCAAAACACAAAAGCTGCAACACAACACGTCCAATATTTCCTGCTGTCAAAGAGCTCCTGCTGTTGTACATAATGGTATAGGCCTAAACCCGTTTCTTAAGTTCCTCGCGACCCCCAAAGCTGATATTTCAGACGTTAACTCATTAAGCTCGTGGTGGGTGAACCCGGTCCTAAAAATGTGGTAACTTTTTTCAAGTGTTCAAATCTTCACATATCAAAGAAAAAAAACAGACCAAAAAAATAAACTGTTGGTAACCCTAGTTGGCAGGTATAATCGATTATCTGGTTATAATGCTTCTTAAGACTGTCATAAGCATGTATGACCTCCATATAATGTTTCATAATCATCTCATATGTTTCCCCTTCACAGAACGACGTGATCTCCAAGCTGTGTACTTGTGCCATCTCCCTGGCCATCTTCCTGTCCGTGTCTAAGATCTTTCCTGTGGAGCGCTCCATCGACGACAAGTTCATCGCCTCTACCCCCTTCATCCTCCAGGTCCTCTACCTGTACCTCTCCATGCTGGCCACCAGGCCCAAGTACTACTTCATTTGGACCCTGTGTGAGTGCACTTTATTATTCATGTGACTAAATGTGAAGTAAGTATTTGGGATTTGAAGGCTGTTGGGGGAGAATTATGTGGGTGCTATTTTATTTTGTATTTTACCTTTATTTTACTAGGTAGGTCAATTAAGAACAAATTCTTATTTACCATGATGGCCTGGCAAAAGGCCTCGTGGTGCAGGGGGTGGGGATTAAAAGTGTAAGACAAGACGGACAACATATACAGAAGTATTTGGGATTTGAAGGCTGTTGGGGGAGAATTATGTGGCTGCTAGCCACCGCATATAACAAATCAGGGTGATATTGGCTCTGACAGTGGCCCTTTTTAAAGTCACACAAAACAGTTGGGCTACTTTTTTGAGTTGTGTTACACTGCCCTCCTGTGTCAATGTGGAGAACAATACCCCCAAAGAGCCTCTGCATTCAGTCGTAGGCCTACAACAGTCAAACAGAATGGTCTTGACAGTAAGGGATATTGTTATTCTTTGTTGGCCAGTGGCATTCTGCCTGGTAACTTTTCTGTTGTCTTTTCCCATTGGACAGCTGATGCCATCAACAACGCTGCAGGCTTTGGCTTCAATGGCTACAACAAAGATGGCACCCCAAGATGGGACCTGATATCCAACTTGAGAATACTGGACATTGAGGTAAGCCTTTTTTATTATTCACATTTCACCAGTACTGTAGAAGTAGGCTATTATTCAGTATTTTGGCTACATTCACTACATCATCACTCTTTCCAGTTTGCCACCAGTTTCAAGATGTTCCTCGACAACTGGAATATTCAGACAGCGCTTTGGCTCAAAAGGTAAACTACATCATAAACCAGATTGCGCTGTACTATCTCACAACAGTAGTCATGTATATTGTAGATATACTGTCATGTAGATTGTACGATCACAGATAGTAGGCTTATATCAGTAGTAATGCTGATAATGCACTGAATCGGCACTGGTCTACTAGCACTGCGTCTGGGCCATTATCTCTACACAGGTTGGGATGCTAATGATTTTGTTAGTTTCAGCTAGTGTGCTAATGCTTTATCTGCATCATGTGCAGTCAGGCTGAGATGCTAGTCTTGTGATTAGCGGGGATGCTAATACTATATCTGTACCATGTCTGTCTTCAACAGGGTGTGTTACGAGCGCTGTCCCATCAACCCCACAGCGGCCACCTTCCTACTGTCGGCCATGTGGCACGGAGTGTACCCCGGGTACTACCTCACCTTCCTCACGGGCATTGGCATGACCATGGCAGCACGGGCAGTGAGTACACAGCCAACACAGCTGGTGTTACCGACCTGGAATCAAACCCGGGTTGTCTGCACACCCTTAGCCCTTTGAGCTAAAGCCTAGGTGTCATCTCTAGGAGTGAACACGAGTCCTCTGGTGTTAGGCAGGATTACATGGGTTGTCAGTACAACTCAAAACTGCATTGGCCCTCTGAGCTAAAGCCAAGGTGTTAACTCTGGCAGCTAACATAAATCCTCAGGTTTCAGGCAAGGTTACAAAAGCACATAATTTAGCTGCTGTTGCCCCATCTCATTTGTCAATGCATTTGTCACAGTCACCATTAGTGAAATGGTGGAATGTTTATGTAAAGACAGCAGAGAGATAACACAGGGGGAGACTGAGCCGTTACCCTGTTCTGATTTAAACAGGAGGCTATAAAACTACAGGTCCTGTGCACTGGCCGCTAGGATTTAAAGCTCATACCCCTTGGCACAGCGGTTGTGTGTGGGGGTGGGTGGGAGTCATGCTTACGCATGAGCAATACGCGAGCAAGGGTGTGTGTAGCAGTATGATAGAGCCTGAGATCACAGGGTAATGGACATGGTGACAGTAGGAGAGTCGTAGAGGACAGAGAGGCCTATGGCAGACAGTGTCCTTAGATAACCTCCACCTCTCCTCAACACTTGGCTCCATTCTCCCTCTACATCACATCTAGGAATAACACTGTCACAAATGTCATGATACACAGAACTAGATAGGGACTATGTTATGATTCCCTATCCGAAAGTGTGCACTTTGCACTCACTTACCCTCATGGATTAATTTAAGCATTGGATTGGATTGGATTGGTGTAAGCATGTATGTATGTGAGTTTCCATGCGTCATGTTTGTTAGACCAGTGCATTCTCTTACAAACCATGAGGGGGAGTGAATGAGTGCAAACCTCTGTGAGAACGGTAGCGAATCGCATCTCATCTCAAATAATTTCAGAAAGTCAAAGCTCTACTTTTGAGATTCATATTGCTACTAAATGCATTCTAAATACAGGTCATGGTTGAGTTATGCACTAATGATGAAGTACATTGCTTCTGTTCATGTAAGATAAAGAACGGGGTCAGTAAACTTCTTCTTAAGAGTTTATAATGGCTACAACATGCCTATTATGTCTGGAAGCTGATTTGTTCCTGGGGTTGTTACTGTGCCTTCACTGATTGGTCTATCTTCTATACTACAAGTTTTGTTTTTACTTTCTGTATCTTAAAGTCAATGCAACATACTGTTTTGAAGGGGTTGCTATGTGGTTTATTCACAATTTCTTCATTTGGCTCACTTCCAGCTAAGACACAACATCAGACCGTACTTCCTGGGTTCAACGACACACAAGAGCGTCTACGATGTCATCACGTGGGCGGGGACTCAGATCGCCATCTCCTACACGGTTGTGCCATTCGTCCTATTGGCCGTTGGGCCATCACTCAAGTTCTACAGGTGAGTGACATTACTGATATTCCAAATGCTCTACCAGTACTATTGAAATGTAATACATCATGTAAGAAGTTATGTTATATGTAACAATGTAGGCCTATATTCAAACGTATAGCTTATTAATACCCGTGTAGACTACAAATGGTGAGTGGCACATACCGTGTTGGGTCCTAAGAATCCTGGGAAGCACCACCAAGTTCAAAACCCCTGTACGTTTTATGGGGAATTTTAACAAATTCCTGTTTAAAAAGGCAGGCCAATAAAACGCAAATGAGCATGGCAGACAGGCACACAGCACAGATAATTAGCTCTGTTCCACTTTCTTTGTGGCCCCTTTTAGTGGCAAACAAGACCACTAATTGACTAGAAGACTTTATGCGATCAGGGCACTCCAGTAAAATGGAGGCAAATGTACGGTGTCATCTGCCAGGGTGAGGAGTGTATAAACCCAGTCATTAAACAGGACCGTTGGGGGACGGCTGGCTGCTGAAATGGAAGGAGGGAGGGAGTGGGTCTTGAGGACCTAGTATTCCCATAATCACAAATACACTGACTGCAGGTACATAAAGCGCAGGATTTTCTATCCCATTAGGATTAGCTAGAATAACTTGTTGGGACCCATAATGAGTCCATATCATTTGTATTCACAGTGACGTTTTGCCAACTCTTCTGAAATCTTTACGCCACATAGAAAATTCACCTAGGCATGCTCTTTCAGGGGCTTAGGCCTGGATTTGTGTTTTGTGACAAATGCATTTGTGAACAATGCTATACCGAACAGATGACATTGGATTGATTACTTCACTGATTGATTGATTTCTCTCTCGCCAGGTCATGGTACTGCTGCATACACATGGCCTGCCTGCTGCTGGTGTTAGCCCTTCCAGTGAAGCCACGGCACCTCCGCGCCAAGGAGGAGCAACAGCAGCAGAACAGCCTACAGGGGGGGTTGACCGGAGACCACAACAGCCACTCCATCACAGACAACAACTGCAACCAGAAACACAAAGCCACATGAGACCAGGGAGGAAGCACCTCCACCCCACACCTCAGAGCTCAAACAACCGGCACAGAGAGAACAAAACTCTGCGCGAACACTGAGACAAAGTGCAGCGATTCTTTGAGACCACAAAGAACCAATAAATGGACAGGAACACAGGAATAACAGACAATAACAAACTCAGTTCAACAACAACAACCCATCAAACCTTCCAGTAGCGAGGAACGACAGCAAATCATGCTTTGGAGAAATGAGAAGAAACGAGAGGAATGGATAGAGATAAGTATCCGAGGGCCACTAAACAGCTAGGATCTAATGAGTGATAATAATGACATTAGCGATGATGCTAACAGTGCGATGCTAAATGACAGAATGCCGAAGAATGCAAAACTGACTGAAGTTTCCTTACCCTCTATGTACTGCTAGCAGGTTAGCGGCTAGGCTAGGTGCAGATTCTGCAGGGTGAGAATGGTTGTGTGGAGGGGAGCACTTGTGGCATTGGGAAATGAAGCAGTTGCAGTTGGACCTCCAGAGGGTAGAGGGCTAGTCAGACAGGTATCGAGAGGATTTTTGTCAGGGTCCGAAAACGATGTAACCTCTACTAGGAAAACAGGTGTAGTAGAAAATTGAAAGAGATATGAAATAAATAACTTTTTTGTCAGATGCCAACTTCAAGCAGGCCTTAGGATCCTCTAAACATTGTTTGATTACTCTCACTTCTTTCACTTTTTTTCATATCTGCTGCTTTTTTGGAATGATACTCGTTCTTTAAAGAGGGTTCATTACAAAGGGAGTATATTCACGGTAATTGTTTAAGGGCTTTTTTGACATGGGGTTAATTCTGTCTAGCTTCCTTGTTTTCCTACTGTATCTGATTACAAACTGTAGGTTTCCTCTAGGTTCAAATGTCTTGCCTACCACTGTAACATCATTTACAAGTTCAGTACTGTTAAACTAGTTTGAAATCTTCAGAGGCTTCTAGATTTACTATGAACTCAAATGGAAATCTCCCTCTAGATTAGTTTTTGAATCCATAGCCTCTAAATGAAATGCAACAAACTGTATTGTTTGAACTAATCGCTCGTGGACAGACTGACCAAACTATGCGAGATTTTAGTTCAGGGTTAACCAAGATTATTTGTGACCTTTCTATATGAGTAATTGGATATAGGATGTGACGCTTACTATCACAATACAAATAAAGCTGATTTGGATGTGTATGAATTACCTTTAGTAACATTAAAAGGTTGGGCAATATGTATTTGACATTTGGGAAACCTACTGTCTATAATATTATTTGTACATATTTGACATAATATTTGGAATAATGGAAAACATAATTATTATGCTCCAATCATGAACCATAACTTGTATGCTCGCTTGTTTAATTACTGTAATGTGGAAAACACTGGTGTACAAGAGTTCTATCAGGTGGGTCCAACCAACTCTTCTGGGGGGGGGTTAATTGTGGTGCAGAGGACAGCCCATGAGCATAACCTACACATGTCCTGATTAATGTTCCACAGTGCTCTGTTTCTGGAGAGGTATGGAACATTCCATCTCATACAGTGCAGGCAGGCATTGATGTGGCATAGCCACAACATATTTTTGACCATACACCATTCATTAGATGGTAAGAGTTGGATAAGTACTGTAGTACAACCAAGATGGCAGCCAATGACTCAGTTTAGGGGGTATATTTTGTGATAATAAGTAACAACCATGCAGCAGTTTTCCAATGTAATCTTTCCCAAAAGTGCATACTCCTGCCATAAATGTGTGTATGTAATTTTTTGATGTTCATGTGGTCTATAAGTGTATTTGTAGCCAAGGTGTAAATGCCTGAGGGGAAAGGGATGCCATCTTTACCAGCAAGTTGATAATTGCACTGCATGGCCACCCAAACTTAGCCTGGTGAAACCAGACTGAACACTACGCTCACTATAGTTTGTGTAGTATTCAGTCTGGTTTAACTAGGCTACCCCAAACCAGCAGATCAATGCAAACTGCTCCGTATGTCCAAAGTGCCATGTCATAAAGGCCCATATATGTTGTACGTGCGTGTGTGAAAGCATAATGGTTATTTTTGTGTCAAGAAAGAAGAAACTTCCGGAAAGATTTGTATAATAGTACTTCAAAAACTGATTTATGTCAAAGGGAAATTATTTTTTAAATACTAATACAGAGATTTGAAACCAGAGTTCTCACTCTCCTTCTTTTGCTCTTTTGGTTGGAATGTGAGTGTGGAGTACTACACTACCGGTCAAAGGTTTTAGAACACCTACTCATTCAAGGGTTTTTCTTTATTATTTAAAAACTATTTTCTACATTGTAGAATAATAGCGAAGACATCAAAACTATAAAATAACACATGTGCAATCATGTAGTAACCAAAAAAAGTGTTAAATCAAAATATATTTTAGATTCTTCCAAGTAGCTACCCTTTGCCTTGATGACAGCTTTGCACACTCTTGGCATTCTCTCAACCAGCTTCACCTGGAATGCTTTTCCAACAGTCTTGAAGGAGTTCCCACATATGCTGAGCACTTGTTGGCTGCTTTTCCTTCACTCTGCGGTCCAACTCATCCCAAACCATCTCAATTGGGTTGAGGTCGGGTGATTGTGGAGACCAGGTCATCTGATGCAGCACTCCATCACTCTCCTTCTTGGTCAAATAGCCCTTACACAGCCTGGAGGTGTGTTGGGTCATTGTCCTGTTGAAAAACAAATGATAGTCCCACTAAGCGCAAACCAGATCCCTTTTGAATTCTAAATAAAATCACTGATAGTGTCACCAGCAAAGCACCATCACACCTCCTCCTCCATGCTTCACGGTGGCTTCACGTCTCACAAAGACATGGCGGTTGGAACCAGAAATCTCAAATTTGGACTCATCAGACCAAAGGACAGATTTCCCCGGTCTAATGTCCATTGCTCGTGTTTCTTGGCCCAAGCAAGTCTCTTCTTCTTATTGGTGTCCTTTAGTAATGGTTTCTTTGCAGCAATTCGACCATGAAGGCCTGATTCTCCTCTGAACAGTTGATGTTGAGATGTGTCTGTTACTTGAACTCTGTGAAGCATTTATTTGGGCTGCAATTTCTGAGACTGGTAACATTAATGAACTTATCCTCTGCAGCAGAGGTAACTCTGGGTCTTCCTTTCCTGTGGTGGTCCTCATGAGAGCCAGTTTCATCATAGCGCTTGATGGTTTTTGCGACTGCAGTTGAAGAAACTTTCAAAGTTCTTGAAATGTTCCGGATTGACTGAACTTCATGTCTTAAAGTAATGATGGCCTGTCGTTTCTCTTTGCTTATTTGAGCAATTCCTCAAATTAACTTTTAACAAGGCACACCTGTTAATTGAAATGCATTACAGGTGACTACCTCATGAAGCTGGTTGAGAGAATGCCAAGAGTGTGCAAAGCTGTCATCAATGCAAAGGGTTACTTTGAAGAATCTCAAATATAAAATTATTTTGATTTGTTTAACACTTTTTTTGGTTACTACATGATTCCAAGTATTAATTCATAGTTTTGATGTCTTCACTATTATTCTACAATGTAGAAAATAGTCAAAATTAAGAAAAACCCTGGAATGAGTACGTGTGTCCAAACTTTTGACTGGTATGGTAAGTCTGGTATCTGGGGTAATCTGGTTAATGATTATATAATTGATTGGCTCTTTCCTTGTAGAATGTTGACAGCTGTATATAACACATTGTATTGCTAAAATGATCAAACTTAACAGCTACACTCATTGACACAGGAGAAAACTTTATCCCTCATGCTGGCCCTGACCAAACCTTTAAATTGCCCCATCACTATAGCTGCACTTCTCGGTATGGCCAGACTTCGTGGTCTCCCCTTTTAATGTTCTTATGCTGATCCTTGACAAATGCCATAAGGTCTGAACTAGTCACCAAAGTCGACATACTGTACAAACAATGATCTAGGCTAAGTAAGTCAAAATACTTTTTTGATCTACTGCTCTGCTAACTAGCTAGCTAAAGTGTAGTATGTGCCTTGCTAAGACAGATAAAGGGGACGTAAGAAGTTCAACACTTCATTTCAATACAGCACATGGATTCATCATGGAAAGGGGAAAAAGGTATCTGATCGCGCTGGTGAACGGTAGCTAACTGTGTTGGCTAGAGATGACGGCGGCAGGTAGCTTAGTGGGTAAGAGTGTTGTGCCAGTAACCGAAAGGTCGCTGGTTCTAATCCCCGAGCCGACTAGGTGAAAAATCTGTCGATGTGCCCTTAAGCAAGGCACTTAACCCTAATTGCTCATGTAAGTCGCTCTGGATAAGAGCGTCTGCTAAATGACTAAAATGTAATGTAGATGACGTGCAAGAATTTGTAGTCTTGCTGAGGTCTTCTCTGTTACTAATTAGCATTTCGAATCTTTGAGAGTAAATTGAGGCGAATAAATTGATCAAACTCACCTTGTTCGATAGATAATTACACGGTTATCAAAACGTCACGCCAAATTAATCCTACACCAAGCAGGTACTTAATTTGAAGTGTTTGTAAAATGCACTATGTGAAAAATGAATGGTGGAAAGACGATTGGAACCTTTTCCGTGTTTGACCGCAAGGTTTTATGGGTGTAAGACGCGTCCACCGCGCGGGACAGGCACATAGAGACCCGCGTTTGGAAGTCATTTCAGTTAAAATGACCTTGTCTCATATTTCCACCCGAATAAGGACGAAATCAGCGTACAACAGGTAGAGTAAGTTCAAAGGAAGTTTATTCAACATTTTGACTGTATATGTTAGAGAGGAGTGAGAAAATAAATGTCACATTCGTATTCGAAAGAAGCACCTCCTCTAACAACATTGTGACAGCTTATTGTGCACAAACTGTAACAGTAACCAGTGGTGGAAAAAGTACCCAATAGTCATACTTGAGTAAATGTAAAGATACCTTAATAGAAAAGGACTCAAATGAAAGTTACCCATTAAAATATTACTTGGTTTTGAATATACTTCAGTATCAAAAGTAAAAGTATAAATAATTTCAAAATCCTTACATAAAGCAAACCAGACTGCACCATTTTCTTGTTTTTTTTTGCCAGGGGCACACTCCAACACTCAGACATCATTTACAAACGAAGTATGTGCGTTTAGTGAGTCTGCCAGATCAGAGGCAGTAGGGATGACCAGGGATGTTCTCTTGATAAGTGCGTGAATTGGGATATTTTCCTGTCCTGCTAAGCATTCAAAATGTAAGGAGTACTTTTGGGTGTCATGGAAAATGTATGGAGTAAAAAGTACATTATTTTCTTTAGGAATGTAGTGAAGTAAAAGATGTCAAAAATATAAATAGTAAAGTAATGCACAGACACCCCAAAAAACGACTTAAGTAGTACTTTAAAGTATTTGTACTTAAGTACTTTATACCACTGACAGTAACCAGCTCATTACATGTATTTAGAAAAATCTGAAGAGTTGGCTGGCTATCTTTAGAAGTCAGTCATGACATGCACATGTCATGGAGCTACTGTACATTGGAATATTTAGTCACCCATTATAGCCTATGATTCATCATTTCTATGTTACACCTAGCTTCGATGCCAGCACAATATCAAAAGTATCTTGGTTGCATCAAAGCTATGTTACATCTTGACCCAATGGACTATTAGGTCATTTAGGCTAGGTGCAAAATGAAGAAACATTAACTCTGTACCTAGGCTATTGCATTCAGAAACATTTCCATTCTAAGCTGTTTGACCCTTGTGCCTTTTCTCTTCCAAAAATAAGACCCTGTGAGCAACACCTCCCATGGAAATATATCATCAGCAGTTTCACCCCCACATGACAGGCAGACAGGCTATAACGAGCTGACTGGTTGAATTTAGAGATCCTGGAACTACACTGAACAAAAATATAAATGCAACATGCAACAATTTCAAAGTTTTTACTGAGTTACAGTTCATATAAGGAAATCAGTCAATATAAATAAATAAATTAGGCCCTAATTTATGGAGTTCACATGACTGGGAATACTGTGGTGTGTGATTTTGAAGGAGTCAGGCACAGTAAATCACAGAATCAATGGTTTATTCCGTAACACAGCGGTACGCAACAATGCGTAAATCACTCCAGTGCAGAAATACGGCGCACTGGAAAACAACAAGGCACACGGGTGAATATCCCGGCGATACACAATACAAAAGAGATACACCGAGCTATATTAACCTCCACAATAAACAATCACACACAAAGACAAGGGGGCAGAGGGAACACTTACAGTGGGGAGAACAAGTATTTGATACACTGCCGATTTTGCAGGTTTTCCTTCTTACAAAGCATGTAGAGGTCTGTCATTTTTATCATAGGTACACTTCAACTGTGAGAGACGGAATCTAAAACAAAAATCCAGAAAATCACATTGTATGATTTTTAAGTAATTAATTTGCATTTTATTGCATGACATAAGTATTTGATACATCAGAAAAGCAGAACTTAATATTTGGTACAGAAACCTTTGTTTGCAATTACAGAGATCATACGTTTCTGTAGGTCTTGACCAGGTTTGCACACACTGCAGCAGGGATTTTGGCCCACTCCTCCATACAGACCTTCTCCAGATCCTTCAGGTTTCGGGGCTGTCGCTGGGCAATACAGACTTTCCGCTCCCTCCAAAGATTTTCTATTGGGTTCAGGTCTGGAGACTGGCTAGGCCACTCCAGGACCTTGAGATGCTTCTTACGGAGCCACTCCTTAGTTGCCCTGGCTGTGTGTTTCGGGTCGTTGTCATGCTGGAAGACCCAGCCACGACCCATCTTCAATGCTCTTACTGAGGGAAGGAGGTTGTTGGCCAAGATCTCGTGATACATGGCCCCATCCATCCTCCCCTCAATACGGTGCAGTCGTCCTGTCCCCTTTGCAGAAAAGCATCCCCAAAGAATGATGTTTCCACCTCCATGCTTCACGGTTGGGATGGTGTTTTTGGGGTTGTACTCATCCTTCTTCTTCCTACAAACACGGCGAGTGGAGTTTAGACCAAAAAGCTCTATTTATGTCTCATCAGACCACATGAACTTCTCCCATTCCTCCTCTGGATCATCCAGATGATCATTGGCAAACTTCAGACGGGCCTGGACATGCGCTGGCTTGAGCAGGGGGACCTTGCGTGCACTGCAGGATTTTAATCCATGACGGCGTAGTGTGTTACTAATGGTTTTCTTTGAGACTGT